GTCATCAAGTTCATCCATGTTTGCTTGTGAATCCTTGTAGTATTTTATGCATCATCTCAACAAAAAAACTATAAACACAGATAATGTTGGCAACCCGATTCCATAAACAACTAGCATTTGGCGATGGTTGCAATCCCACCCATCAAAATGGATAAACCTAAACCACGTTTTTTTTGGGGGGGATGGTTTATGATGTACTTTATGGATGTTTATGGGGTTGACCACATTTTTCACACAACATCTCCACCACATTTTCCGATGACAGGCTGCAATGGAGAAACTTCACCAACTTCCTGCTGCTTCTGTTAAGACCTGGACAAAGACCTCAGAGGCCTATGGCGAGCAGTTCAAGGCGCCAGTCTGGCGCTGTTGAACTGTGAAGGGGGAAATGGCAAAAGGCTGTAGAGATGATCATGGCTTCAAGTTAAAAGTCTGTTTAATTTATGTGCGTTTAGTGAATATGTCTCCTCATACATTGATGTTTCACTAACGTACCCTCTGGTAAACTAACATAACTATGGGAAATCACCATTTTTCTTGTAAATGGTAGTGCTTTTGTGTGCGGATGCTTCTGCTAGAGCATGTACCCGGTCAATGACCACTCCAATGATGGGTAGACATCCAAATTAATTAGATGCAGACGGCGGAACGGAGTATGATATGGTATCCCAAAGCAACTGGTTACAGCATCCAGGCATTTTTGTTGGGGCCAAAATCTGGCTGTGAAGACTTTTTTTGGCTAAGTTCAAGTTGGATATTGAACTACACATTGTCACATTGTGTTGCGCAGTGCCCGGCAGTGCAGGAATGCATGGACAAAAAGGGTCCAGCAATTGAGTCCGTTTCTGGGAAGCAGAGACGGGCGCAGAAATAATGTTGACGTTTCTTTGTTGTTTGTGTGTTTCGGCACTTGAGGTGGAAACTCAACTATGGTCCTATGGTTGCCATATACCATCCCTATAATGTCATTTTGTGTTACGATAACAATGGTTATCATTGTTTGAAATGTGGTAAACCTGGAAGGTACTGATCATAGCGGGCAATGATCCACATGTTGACCACCAGCTGAAAGAGTTCAGGTTTTGGCGTTAAGGTTGATGTTTCGATCAAGCTTCGCCCCTGGCGGAGCTTGACGCATTGACAGTTCTAAAGAGGATGCATGGCTCCATAGGACTTTCCAAGATGTGAACTAAGATATAATAATAATAGGTTCTATAGGTTCATATGTGACTTTCCAATAGGTTCTATAGGACTTTCCATATATGGTTCATCCAATATGAACTAAGACCAGATAGATGACTGCTGGATGGTGCTTTCACTGATGTGTCTCTATCTTCTTTTTTATCTCACATTACCCCCAACGATATTCATGTTTTTCTGCCAAGACATGGGGGTCGTTCAACCACCAACCGGGGCGGATTTGGATTCTTAGGTGAGCTGGCTGAACTACATGAAGACTGACAAGAAAGACATGCAGCTTTGCCGAGACGGTTCACCTTGATACATACATTCCTAATTACATTACATTCCTAATTACATTACATTACATACATAACATATATATATACATATTATATACATATGTATATATATATATACATATGTATATATATATATACATATATATATATACACAATCTATATTTTTTTTATATTATGGCATATCATGTCAAACTGCATGAGCTGTTCTGTATTGATACATCAGAGCCATTACCTTTGTGCCCTTTAGTGTGGCTGGTCATGTGGGTCCGTGGTCATATTTTGGGCTAGGGCTCCATAATCCTGAACAGCTGAGGCTGATGGGTTCTAGTTCTCCATTTCTGTCAGATACCCATAGGATCCATGGTGCTGCTATATATGGTAACATTTACCATAAATATACCCCAAATGTTAGCATATATACCATACATGGATCCTATGGGATATGTAGTTGCCTCGTTTTTTTCTCACGAGTTTCCAACTTTGCTTCAACTTCATATGCGCTGCCCCCGCACGGAAACCCTGCTGATGTGTGTGTGTGTGTGTGTTCCAGGTATTCTTCGACTCACGTCAAATCCTTCCAGCCAGGAACCAAGTGAGAACAGTCCCTGGAGCTACCTCTGATATTTTGATTCGGGTCTCGATTCAAACCTTACAGATATTAAGGTCCATGCAAGTTCTAGCAAGTGCCTTCCAAGAATGCTCGAAGAGAAACAACATCTGGAGCGCAGGGTTGAAAGGGACATAAAGTGTCATACCAAGTGCTGGTTGGTGTTTTCATTTGTTTTCGCAAATACATGTTGTTCACTTCCAGTCCCAAGACCGACAAATGAATCAACCCATCATTTTGCGGACGACTCAACCAGCGCATTGAGGCATCCAAGTTTCCAGATTGATTCCAGTGAGCTGAAAATGCCCATGACGGTGGACCAGCTGGAGAAGTTCCTCGGTGTACATTTGTATAAGAGAAACAATGAGAAAAAGAAACAGAACATTTTTTAGAGCAATGATGGTTTGATTTTGTCTTTCTCATTTTTTACCTTCATTGCTTTCCTTTTTTGGATGTTGCATCTGTTGATGATTCCAGACCGATGTGTTTTTCGTAGGTCATGTTCCAAGCTTGGATGTCAGGTATCGAGAAAAATGGACGAGTGGAGATGGGGAATCTTGCAATGCAATGGTCGCAAACATGGCTGGCTGGGAAATCCCGTACTGATGGGTACTTACCCTCTGGTAAATTAACATAGACCCTGGCAGATAGGGGTTGGAAGATTAGTTTCCATTAAAACTAGGCTAGTTTCAGGGTCTACTGTATGTTAATTTACCAGAGGGTAAGTGGAAAAATCATCTATAAATGTGGGTGCCATGTTTCATTACAGGAGAGTGGCGGCATGTAGCAGCAGTGCTTTCTACATTTTTTTTACAAAGAGCCGTGATGTTTGACCAGAACGCATGTGTCGTAGACGAATTTCAGATTCAATCTGGTTGGTGGTTTCAAACATTTTTCTTTTATTTTCTATAATATATGGGATAATCCTTCCCATTTGACTTTCATATTTTTCAAGATGGTTGAAACCACCAACCAACAATCATACTTTGGTACTGCCGCCAAGTTGTTACAGATGTGTTCACGTTGTATGCAAGTTGCTAGCTGCACTGTATTCGCTTTACTATACGAAATATACACGTGTACTGTATATTCTAATAATATGTATATATATATATATCTATATACACATGTATTTAAATTCGAATGAGGTGTATCTACACGCAACTACTTGCACATAAAACGTTTGGAGCGTCAAGTCAACTGTTCATATGAGAAGTGACCAGCATTCCTAGTGACTAGTTACTACGGTGTGTTCCAACAGGTTACGACCCATTCTGGGAACCACTACCAGCCAGCACAGATGGTGAAACCGATGCCCAAACTCAGGATCGTTTTCAGCGCTAGTTTGGCCGACCTGGTGAAGATGAAAAGTCAGAGACAGGCCTGGGATCCGGATCTGTAGGATATATTGGGTCGGTCATGTGTCCTTTGTGTTTGAAAACTGGTGATGTGATCCCAAGATCTCACAAGTTCCAGTTGAAGTGTCTGAAGCTGTGGATGCGAAGTTACTCTCTTTCTTGAAAATCGAAACGCTGCATACTTGATGCGCTTTTCAAAAGTGAATCGGATTGTTGACAAGGAGGCAATGAGCTCAACCAAAAGAAACTATAGTTCTGCCAACCTATCTCCCCTTTGTCACATGCCAGGTGTGCCAGAGGTGTGAGTCTTTGCCGAAGATGCAAGAACGACTCCAGAATTCGGAAAATCTTGTTTCACACGACGTCCAGTCTACATTCTACATGTTGCGCTTCAGAAAAAAAGCAGCGGATGCCGCACAAACTATTTTGTTGATGCCCTAAACCAAGAACATCCAAGAACTGCGTTACCTTATGTCCAGAAAAGGAATGGAATGTGAAAGACTATTTGACCACGGATTTACCAATATTACCAACGATTGGAAGTATTGTACCATGTCTTTGCAAAATCACGAAGTATCCTCATTCCTCTTGCCTACATCACAGGCAGCCACCACACTGATATAAATTGGCAAAATTGTCATCCATACGTGTTCGGCTTTGTCTGAGAGTACCCCAGTTACTTATGGTTGATCAATGTTTATCATCATTTTTTACCTATTTTTTCCGTTGAAAATGATGACTTTTTGGGAAGTTTCAACCATTTCTGGTTTGACCTGAAAGGCCTTTTCAACAGTGGGGCACCCAGCAACGCTAACGGTTAGTTTTTTAGTGCAAAAAATGCATCGCCATTGAAGCCTTAATTTGTGCTTTTTGGATCCAGATTTTGGTCTTTGGAGTATCTTTTACCCACCCAATTCCTGGGAGCAATCCTGGTTCTGGCAACGGTGCCAGGATTCTTCTGTGCTGAAGACATGCACGATTTTTTGCTTCGTGTGTCGTAGCGCTTGCCTCCAAATGGAGGATTTTTTTCTGGAAAACGGATGAAGCTGCAGTGGAAGGACCATGAGTGACCATGAACAAGCCTGGCAGATAGACATGATAGACCTTACAGTACCCTCTGGTAATTTAACATAGCTATGGAAAATCACCATTTTATATGGGAAAAACCACTATTAATGGGCAATTTTCAATAGCTATGTTAGTTTACCAGAGGGTACCTGCTTACAGGTCGTGGAGACCGGGGACTGATCGCTTACCATGACCACAGTTCCTGGCACAGATGTTTGGAGGCTCATAGGCTCATAGTGTGTGGAAAGCGCTTACTTCACGGCTGATGAAAGTAGAGACTCAAAGATTTCCGCAAGATGAACTCTGACACAAAATGGTAGAAGATTGTTGAAAACTACAGCAACATACTGAACCTCGAAACACTTCAGATTCAGTCACACACACGCATAAGTTCAAGAGACCAACTATTCACATGCAGATGACAGCGAATCTGAACTTGTGTGTTCCATGATCAATCTACCTCAGGACATAGATCTACTGCTGTAACCTTTTGCCCTTGTTTCTAGCTGCGTTTTCTTCACAGAATGCAAGATGTGGCCGTTTCAGGCGCGACTGCTTTGCGCATCGGATCGATAGAATTTGCTATATGTGCTGCCATCTTTGCTGGTGATACAGGGTTATTTGCACTTTTTTTTGTTTATCTATCAGTTATTGTGAATCCCTATTAATCCAATGTTTTATTGGTCATATCATGTTTTCCATCATGTGGCATTTTTTTTTTTAATCATTAAGAATCATTGTAAATCTTGATTCTGCATGGTTTATTAATAATCATGTGGCGTGCTATATAAACCACTATAAATCATGAATAATCATGATATAACTGGTTAACGACTGGTTAACTCCCTATTCCGAAGACGGACATCGAAAACATCGAAAAAAACGGATGACATCGGATGACATCGCCGTCTTGACGGCTCCCTGGGATGATCTATTGAAACCATGTGAAATAGGGGAGCTATCCATGGTCAAATCCATTGAAATTTGGGGAAATGGATTGTTTCCTGGGATTTTGCATGGATAACTGGGGATAACATACATATGGTATGTGTTATGAAAATCTGGATTATCCCCTTAGATATTAGGATGATTTTAACCATGGATATTTGGGGATAGCATAAGGAGAAAGCCCTAAATGTTCGGTTCCTTAAAAGCAATCCATTTATATAGGTCCGAGTCTGTTGGAAAGAAACAAAAATGACGCCGTGGAAATTGGTTTTCCAAAACGGTCATAGATTGGAAAGGGGTACCAAGTGCATTTTGGGACATATACTCCAAGATTGACAGGCTTGGCCAAGATCCTTCATGTTCATTCTTCTACGGAGACGATCATTTTGTGATTAAGTGACTGGATTATGCATGCATTATCTTACATTAATTATGTTCAAGATACTTGGATGTGCATCACAGTCAGTAGTTCCAGTAGTTCACACCCATGGCTTTGGCCCATTTTGGAGACAAAAACATAAAATACTTCCTGGTATCAAAATGACTATACCATAAAATAATTCTGGAAGTTTGTTAGTGGAATTTGGTTAGATATTTTTCTAACCTGGAATTTCATGGATTTTTCATAAACAACTTTAGACATTAATATGACCTGTACTAAGAATATTTCCACACTGACGGCCGTTCCTGCCGTTCCTGCCGATTCCTTGGGCCAGCTGACCCATCCATCTGCTTTATCGTCATTAAAATATATGCCAGGATAAATCTAAAATTCTATAGACTTTGATTTGTGTTTTCTTAAGAACATGGACATTTCCAGAAATAGTTTATAAACTTATTTAGAATTATATTAGTCCAACATATGGAACTCCACCCAAGAACCATCAGGAACCGATCGCGATCGCCCAGGCTGGACCATACAGCCCCAACAGTGCCAGTGCAGCGTTGCGAAGCTGCAACGATCGCCCAAACGGGCAGTGGTCCTCTTACGCCCCATTTTCGGTGAATGATTGGTGGGACAATCCATTGGATCGTTAGAACATGTTGGAACTGAAACACTGGAAGATCCTGGAAGTATATACCCCGTAGGATCCATGGTGCTGGTATATATGCTAACATTTGGGGTAATTATATTGATGGTAAATGTTACCATATATAGCAGCACCATGGATCCTATGGGATACTGAATAAAACCTAGTTTTCATGATGCCACAAAAAAACCACCAATGACAACAAACGGTCAAAACTCATCTATCTTTTTTCCCTCCAAATGGATATGTTAAGCTGACCATATGGGGTTCTTAAAAACTATCCCAAAACGGGGCAGATATGCCCATAATCCATCCAAATTGGGGACCTTTGCTTGTTTTTATTGCTTCACCACATAAACCTCGAGGATCTGCAACGACAACTCATCACCCGCTTAGTTCTGTTGGTTCAACTGGCTGCCAGGCCATTCACTCGAACGTCGCTGACTGGGAAATCCAGTGTAAATGGAGACTTTAATTGGGAACATCAAGTATTAATGTGTGTTTCTATGAGTTTCCATGTGTTCCCTATGTTGAAGAGTTGAACATCACGTCGTGATAAAGTGGCTCAGTCAAACATGGTGACTCAGTCAATTTATCGCTCACAAAAGCCGACACCAAGTAAATATTGGAATTTAACCACCCCAATACTTTGTATTTTGTGGCTGACTCGCAACATCTCGCAACTCACAGAAAGTCTTCTCTTGAGGCCACCCTTCGGAACGCTTCCTTTCACTCCCAGCGCCTTGCGTACACCTGGCTTGGGTTGGGCCTGGTTGGGCAACATTGTTTCGATTTAGCTGGTTGCTGCTTCCCAATATGATAATGGGGGATTGAACCCCGCATGGAAATGTTTAAAGGGAAACAGGATTTGTGATAAACCATGGAATTTTGCTGATAGTTTATTTTCAGACAAGTATGTCTTATATTCAATCCCATCATCCCATTTTTTTAGCTCCATTTCTCTAGGAATGCGGGGACAAAAATCTGGAAAATTGGGGGAAAAGCACATTCCAGCCAGTCCATCCACTGGTGAATCATCATGTTCCAAAAAAAACAGCAGAGGGGGGACCAAACAAAACACACTGTTTCGAACGCACACAATGGATACCCTCTGGTAAACGTTTACATAACCATGGAACATCACCATTTTTAATAGGTAAATCCACACTATTTCGACTGGGCCATTGTCCATAGCTTTTTGTATGTTTACCAGAGGGTATTACAATGGATATTGCAACATATGGCAAGCTTCTGCACGGATCCATCTCAAATTCAGCAATCCTGTCGCCAGCCAATGCTGATTTGGCAGCACAAGCATGTCATCAGGCGGGCGGTTCACCATGAGCCCATGAGATGATGAGAAATGTACTGCATTGATCTGCATTGTATATCTAGTAGTCACAATAATAAAATAACTCATGCAAAAACAAGAAACGTAGCAATAATAACTCGGCAACAGTGACAATATACAATAATCATCAATAATCAATATTCTCTATAACCCATAGGATCCATGGTGCTGCTATATATGGTAACATGGATCCCATCAAATATACCCCAGTCATGTTAGCATATATACCAGCACCATGGATCCGTCATGGGTAATATATCTGAATCGATATGGCCATGGTTCATACTTTGACACCGGGAATTTGGGACTATGGGGACCATTTGGGACGATGTGCAACCATTGGTCGGTAAACATCTCGTTTTTTTGCAACCAACTTTGACCCAAACTTCTGCGGTTTCTGAAAGTGCGCAAAAAAGTATAATATATATATATATATATACATATCCGCGATGACTAAAAAACGTGCGTTTTTTTGTTTTTTTTCGGGCAATGCCACGTATGACTTGAGCTTGGAGTTGCTGCGATGATGACGATCATGTTCAAGTGACAAGGTGGTGGTTCTAGACTTGAGATAGCTGGGAATTTAGCAACAAATACCCTCTGGTAAATTAACATAATCATGGAACATCAGCATGTTTAGTGGGAAAATCAACTATTTCTATGGCCATTTTCAATTGCTTTTTGTATGTTTACCAGAGGGTAACTGTTTCGTAGTTTCCAATAGTTTGTTTGCCATCCCCAGGGATAGAGGATGATCCTTCCGATTCGTCCGATTGAAACCACCAAAGGACACGCCGTTTTGTTTCAGGCTCAGCTCGTTGATATGGCTATGGATCAGCTATAGATACCTTTTTTAGGGGCAATGAACAGCAATTTACCAGCTATTTTGATGTCCACCAGGATGGGTTTTTACCCATGGCCTATATGTTTGCTGCCATTTACTGAAATCAAGTCGCACAGATGTCTGAATGGCATGGCTCGTCGCGCCGGACTTGTCGTCGCCTTGCCGAGAGCTCGGAGATGAGAGAAACGTTGGTCCAGTGGTCCGAGGATCGCCCAAGACTGAAGTTCCTAATATCACTGGGAATTTCAGGATCCTAAAATGGAGGTACTGTAGCATATAAGACCATATTTTCTGGGGATATTCCCTGAAATTTAGGCCTAAACAATAGGCCTTTTTTTTTGGTAGGTACCTCCAATCAATCGGTTCCTGAAATGGCCATTGATAATATCAAAATGGCATCCTTTGTAGGCCTCGATTACAACAGCATACAGTCGATGTGGCCTGTGGCCCTCAGGTCATGGGTTGCGCTGAGTGCCTTTTGCGTGCCAGTTGCCTCCTCAGATTGGATGATGTCTTTGGTCTCTAGCTTTGATCATGTGTATGCAGCATATAATGTAATTATATGTATATAATTGTATATAAAGTATGTATATAAATATTAATATACATATATATTTATATATGTATTATGTATATATATATATATGTATATACACACATATTTATTGTTGGGTAGACCTTTGATGATTTGTGTCTTCATGACGGTGATCCACGGTTCTTTTCAAACCTCCGTTGCGGAGGTTCCGCCATCGCGCCGGCTCGCACGGGCAGCGTTGAAAGAACGATGCGATGAAGTGGAAGGCGACTGCGGCTGGTGGTTAAAGGCTCTAGCCATGGGGATTCAATCCAATAATTCTGGTATCATTTATAGGTATATATATATATACATTATATATATATTATATATATACCTGGAGCTTCCATTGCATGGAAAATTCTAGGCGTTTAAGGTAATGAGTCGTTTCAAGCAAAAACGCAGCGAGTTGAAGTCATAAAATAAAAACAAGGCGATCTTTGGGAAAATAGGTCGAGGTTGTAGTGATTACCCCATACAGGAACCACCAACCCATAGTAGGCCACCCGTGCACCTGCTGATGCAAACACACCTGTGATGAACTATGCCATCACCGAGATGCTGAGGAGCCATGCCCTTAGCCTTTTTTTTCTCAGTTGAGCTTTGCAAATTGGATTTTGTATCTGCCCAAGCATTTTTGCAGGGTGGAAAACGATAGGGCCAAACCAGTCATACCTCTACTGCAACTTCGTGATGTTTGGCTCACAACTCCTATAAAATCTTCATCGGCCCAGCAGCTCGTGGTCAAGACATTCATTGTTCCAGTTGTTCCCTGGTATAGGCTCAGCACCAGTTCCCCAAACATGTGCAATTTAGGCCGTACCCTATACAGCAGAAGCCCTTGAGAAGCCATGCGGGCTGCCAAATTGGCGTACCCTTCCACCCACAACTCTCCATATCGCACCACCTCTTGGCGCGTTTGATGGTCGATCCAAAAACCTGACCTGTGCATAAGGCGAAAGAAATTGTTGATTTGAGACGCGGTGAACTTGAGCATCTGTAAATCAGGATCGTGAGCAACATCCTGAGGCCAACAACTCTGATGCCCAAAAATCCGTTTTGTGCATTATAGGGAATATAACTTTTGAAACTCTAGGCCCGTCCTATGAATTTTGGCAACCCTTGTCCTGAGACTCCAAGAAAACAGAGACCCATGAACACACCAACGCCGTATCGAAGCCCTTGCCTTTGATAGAACTTGGAAAATCATTGTTGTTCGCCATTCCCAAGTCGTCATGCCCGTTCCAAGGTTTACATGCCGTTGTTTTCTTGAACTTCGCACAGTACTCAATATATGCACAGTAGGCTCGATAGATGCACGCATCCAACTTGCCAGTGCCAAACAATCCCTTCCGACAGCAAAGCACCACTGATGATGCTGCAAAGTCCACACCAACCCCATGGATATGGAAAGTGTGGGCCACATCAGTAAAGATTTTTGTTGGATCATCACCATGAGGTAGATCAAAGAAAGGGCAATCACGACTTTTGAAAGGTGAGGCCCCAGGCCGTTCCAGTTTCCACGGCGCATCTGCCTTTTGATTCCACCAATCCTGACGTAATGATCAATAACCCGGAATACAAATGGTCTATTTTCAAAAACAACCACCACCATTTAATACCATATATCATGACAGGTATTGTGGATGGAAGAAATCCTGCACTAGTTGGTAGATGGCCCATTGCTTATCCCATTATAATATCCCATTATTTGTATCGAAGCTGGTGCAGGATTTCTTCCATCTGCAGTATCAACCATACGAAATATGCTGGATCACTGGAAACATTGCAACATTGAGGTCGGTATGTGCATGGAAACGACCTGCCCGTGATGACCAAGTGACCTTGCTGCTGCACATGTGGCAGATCCGTTTGCTCTTCCAACCAGTTCTCAAACCAAAAGCCTGCAGTTTGGCACTTGATAAGGCTTAAGCCTTAAGGGCTGCTATCTACAGCTGACTTACTTTACTTCGTGTGATCCCCACCATGACATTTATACATTTTCTTACTGGCATATCTTCTGGCATTCTATCTGGCATATCTTCTGGCATATATTCTGACATATCTTCTGGCATTCTATCTGGCATTCTATCTGGCATATCTTCTGGCATATGTCCTGGCATATCTTCTGGCATTCTATCTGGCATATCTTCTGGCATATATTCTGACATATCTTCTGGCATTCTATCTGGCATTCTATCTGGCATATCTTCTGGCATATGTCCTGGCATATCTTCTGGCATTCTATCTGGCATATCTTCTGGCATATATTCTGACATATCTTCTGGCATTCTATCTGGCATTCTATCTGGCATATCTTCTGGCATATGTCCTGGCATATGTTCTGGCATATCTTCTGGCATATCTTCTGGCATTCTATCTGGCATATCTCATGGCATTTTATCTGGCATATCTTCTGGCATTCTATCTGGCATATTATCTGGCAAATCTTCTGGGATTCTATCTGGCATATCTTGTGGCATTCTATCTGACATTTTATCTGGCATACCTTCTGGCATTCTATCTGGCATTTCTTCTGGCATTCTATCTGGCATACCTTCTGGCATTCTATCTGGCATACCTTCTGGCATTCTATCTGGCATATCACATGGCATTTTATCTGGCATATCTTCTGGCATTCTATCTGACATTCCATCTGGCATATCTTCTGGCATTCTATCTGGCCGTTGAGGTCCAGCGGTGCACACTGAGCTGGGCAGGTCCCAGGTTGAGGTCCAGCGGTGCACACTGAGCTGGGCAGGTCCCAGGTTGAGGTCCAGCGGTGCACGCTGAGCTGGGAAGGTCCCCGGTTGAGGTCCAGCGGTGCACACTGAGCTGGGCAGGTCCCCGGTTGAGGTCCAGCGGTGCACACTGAGCTGGGCAGCTCGCAGGTTGAGGTCCAGCAGTGCGCACTGAGCTGGGAAGTTGGCGAAGTGTTTGGCGACGAGTTGGCAAGGTTGGCGAGGCGGAAGTGGAGGTGGAGCAAGGCGGAAGTGGAGGTGGAAGAGGCGGAGGCGAGGAGGAGGGCGAGGAGGAGGGCGAGGAGGACAGCTAGTGAAGGAGGAGGAGGAGGAGAGGGCGGAGGAGGAGGCGGGCATGCGCTCTGATAAAATCTAACAACCCTCACCTGGCAGGTGGGGAAAAAATAGCTACTCCTAGCCTTTAACCTTGCTATTATTGAAACTGCAGGAACCATGCACCGAGATCCAAATTGCGCTATAGCCGTGGATTCCAACAAAATCATTGTCATGTGCTTACCAAGTAACTGCCCTTTGATACTTCCAGTCGCCTTTCCCACCAAGCCACACCAGGTACAGGGTCTCTGACTTCACCTCCGCAGGCAAGGGTGGTCGCTGACCCGATAGGAAGCATCCATGGGAGCAACTGAGTCGCACAAGATAAAGTATTGCAATGAATGCGCCACTAAAAAACGGTTGTTAATCTTTGAGGTTCATGTCTAGGATCCCTACTCATAGATTTAAGAAACATTGGTGCCATGGAAATTCCTTCCTCAATGCCACTGTCATATAGCTCACGCATTTCAGAAACCCAAGCCC